TTTTAGGTGCTAATATGAACATTTAGGTGCCAATATGGATATTTAGGTGCTAGTATGGACATTTATTTGCTAATATGTACATTTTATGCTAATATGGACATTTATGTGCTAATATGTATATTTAAGTTCTAATACGTACATTTAGGTTCTAATATGTACATTTTAGGTGCTAATATGGACATTTAGGTGCTAATATGGACATTTATTTGCTAATATGTACATTTTATGTGCTAATATGTACATTTAGGTGCTAATATGGATATTTAGGTGCTAATATGTACCATTAAGGTACTAATATGCACCCTTTAGGTAAAAAAAGTGTACCTTTTGAAAAGGTACAGCCCCAGTGACATCTTTTGGACCTTTTTTTCTGAGAGTCTTCTAAGAGTAGAAAATGGGCAAAATATATAAGAAAATGTAAGTAATTAAAAATGTATGTTTTCAATAGAAATATATTTTCATGGTCCAAAACAAATATTTTTTTTTTCATTTTTCCAATATCCAGATATATATATATTGTATCTATAGGGTTGTGTGTGTGTGTGTGTGTGGATGAAACTTTTGACAGGTGGTATCAAGCAGAACGGCAGATGTAAACGTGGACTCTTGACTTTTAAAAGTTGAACAGCATGCTTTGAAACTGTAGTTATAATATTACTCTACAGTTTGAGTATTTGCCAACATGTCTGTCAATGCTAATTTATGATGATACCACTGAAAGAAAAACATCTAGGAAGCATTTAATTTTTTATGAGGCAGGGAACGTCCTGGCAGATGTTCTTCTTGCACCACAGAGAGGGCAGAGCCGTTTCAAGCTTTCTTGTTCGGAAACAAAAGGACATCTGGGGGGAAATAACATTAGTGGTATAAGCCATCATTGAGAAAACATCACATCAGCTCTTCTCAGATGATATAAATCAGCAAAACGTCTTCTCACTCGCATCATTACAACGAAGCAAATTCACAGCATGGGCCGTGTTGTTGTTGTAAAACGCCTAATAATCAGATCAGTGTGGGCATATAACACTTACTTTATCACACCATTACAGATACAGCAGGATGTCAAGATGATCAGGGACAACAGCATCTTGTCCTCAGGCTTGCATTTTCTTGCTTCTCATTTTTGCATGCAAACAAGGATGGCACCAGCGAGACATGGCAACGCATGAATACGTTCACACGTGCAGAAGTCCACTCATTTCCACAAAGACATCACTATTCCTGAGAGAGCTTCAGTCAGACTCATAAATCTAAATGTCTTGTATTCGTCAGTGATGAGGGTAGTTATTCTTGCTCCTCCAGAGATGATGGCAGACGCGGTGTCCTCGCTCTCCAGACATTTATGACGATATGTATGCACATGCCGCTTCCAGTTAAGAGCACATTACGTGAGTAATAGTTTGATAAATTGCTCTTGTCATGTCACGCTTGCGCTGCACCATGAGCCACTGGCACACTCTGTGGTAGTTTCTGGAGCCACATCAAGCTCCTACTGTTCTTGGACACCTGGGGATTATGGGAAATGAACTGATTCATAATGTGTGCACTGCTTGAGATAAATTCCTGCTACAAAAAAAGCTAATGCGATTAAATTTTGCATGTTACATAACTATGTTTACAAATTAATATCCAATTAATCATTTGAATTTATGCAAAAGAAAGATTTATGTGGAACTGTTTTATGAAATGCATTGCACTTTCCAGATATTCTTTCAACACTACTAAAAATAAAGGATCTTTAATTGGCATTGATGATTCTATGAAAAACCTTTATTATCTATGGAACATTTCCATTGCATAAAAGGTTCAGACTACAGGCAAATCAGATTTTTTTCAGGAAGACTGTCTGCCCTATTAATTGCAAATGAGCAAATAAGATGTGTGTCCAGACATAACTAACAAATCTGCATGGGTTGTATTGGGAACGACACAGACGTACCATATATGTGACGAGGCTTTCAAAACAGATGCAGGAAAAATGGAGGTGCATGATCTCGCTCTCCAAATATGTGCCTCGTCGAGTCCTGGTGCAGAACTCGTCTGTCGCACACTTGTTATGAATACTTTCCACATTTCCATCACCGGTTTTGACATTATTGTTGTGTGTTACCTCAAAGGGGTTCAGCCAGAGCGTCCAGACTGACACACATCTGATTGGAATCGCAATTCAAACCACTTAAAAAAAATAAAATAAAAATAAAATACAGATTTCATGGTTTTTTTTTTTTTTTGCTGCCTAGATTTTTTTTAAAAACCCATCTGTGTTAAATCTGGAATATGCAAAAAAAATATGGATATTTGCTTGCAGTCTGAAAATAGCCTTAAAGATAAACATACTTTTGTGCATTTATAGTTCCACGAAGAACCCTTTTATTGCACAAAAGTTTGCTCTCTGTTCAACTGAAAGGTTTTTGAGGAACCAAAAATGCTTTTTAGAACATTAAATTATTTTTAAAAGTAGTCAAAAAACCTTCTTTAGATTAAAATGGTTTTCAAACGAAGACAAAAATGGTTCTTTTAAAGGTATCTTTAGGTAACCGAGCCCTCACTGCTGACAGGTGAATATGTGTAAGGCTGAAAAAACTGGTCGAAGAGAAAATATCTGACAAAGGATCTTGTTGGAAATTAACATTTGACTCCCTCCCCTTCTTCCTTTGGCACCTTATCTACATTCTCTCTCTTTCTGTCTTTCTCTCTCTCTCTGGAAACCCATCTTTACATTTGAAATGAGGCCTCTCAATGTAAGGAAAACGCAGTGAGAGCTCAAGGCCTTTTCTGTATCTCAGATGAGCCCTTGAATGCTGAATGATGTATTTCATGTCGGGTAAAGCATTTTCCTCTTTGTTCTAGAACATTTGATGGTTTGCATTGATTATCTTTCAATTGATAACAAAATTGTAATAATACATTTACCTGACATAATACATTGTTATATTTGATTACTCTAACAGACTTTGATTTTATTTTCATTCAAATAAAGGGAATAGTTAAACATTCACGTAGATTTATTAATGCACAGATATCATTGAAAAACCTTTTCATTTATGGAGTCAGCGACCTTCACCATGCTTTCATGCTTTCTGCTGGTGCTAACATCAAGGCAAACAGTGCTTGTGAATAGCAAGCTAGCCTATTTTACATGTGAGTGTGTTACACTGGTGTTATACACCACATAGCACATGGCTGTACGGTATTGCATGTGACTATTCAATAAAAAACAAATGTTTACGTCAAAATATATACATGCAAAAGAGTTTAGCTTTTATTCTTTTCAATTTTTTTTTTTCCAAATTCACCCCCAGTGTTTTCAAACATTTGCTTTGACCGTTTCTTGCGGCAGTGCTATGTTAGTGTGTTAGATAGCTTGTCTATACCTTTCACCATGATCTTGTGTTGAAACATCCGTTCATTTTATAGGGAAAATGATCAAAGGAAGGCAGGAAATAACAGAAGGCAGGAGATTTGTTTGATGATTACATCTGCGCTGCCTTCCTGTACTGCACAGCATCTCTCATGGCACATCTCCACTCACAGCAAATAACTAAAGCTGGCGAGGAAACACAACAGAATGCTTTTGCTGTGAATGTGCACTTATGGATGGCAATGGCATATTCAACTATTACAGTAGCCTTTCTCACAGAAAATATCACAATTATGATGAAACCATTTCCAAAAAAAAACAAAAAACATTTAAGCCAAAATTTAAGATTTGCATATTTGAATTGCATATCAAATTCCCATCATTTGGATTAGACAAGAAAAACCCCCGAATCAAATTAGTCAGTCATACAAAAAATGAAACAGCTAAGATTTCTGCATTTAAAAAACAAAACAAAAAAAACAAACATTTATTTTATTTTATTTACTGTAAATAATAGCTTATAATCAGCTAAATCTTTTCATTGTGAACATTTTAATGAACAAGCAATTTTCAATTAGTTAAAAATAATGAATGAGATTGAAAGAAATTGGATATATTGATGATAAATATTCTCGCTATTGTGTATTTAAAACACATTTATTGGTACTATGCAGAAATCTTTGTTGCTTGTTTCATTAATGACAAATCACTGTAAGTTTATTAATTTATGTTAAAATGTGTAATCCTATTATAATTTAAATGTGATTCAAATACATCAATTTTAAATGCAGGCCTTCTAATCATGAATAATACAATTGCTCATTTAAAAAAGAGCTTAAGCAATGGTATCAATATATAATCATTATAATTAATGAAGCCTCTTGTTACTTGTTGTATAATCAGCTGTAATAAATTAATGGTTCATCTTCCATTCCAGATTATGAAAACATTGTTTTGTGCATTAGGTGCATTTTCATTTTGTATTTCTACCCACATGCAGCAAGTCTGAATGGAAATTTGAGGATATACTGTAAATCACATTTTATTTATTTTTGGGGCTCAGTGGTTCATGTAGGTTGTCTACCGAAACCGAAAGGTCGGTGGTTCAATCCCCGGTTCCACCTGACCAAGTGTCGAGGTGTCCATGAGCAAGACACCCAACCCCAGCTGCTCCCGACGAGCTGGATGGCGCCTTGTATGGCTGACACCGCCATCGGTGTGAATGGGTGAATGTGAGGCAATATGTAAAGCGCTTTGGTGGCCATTAGGGACATTACCATTTTTAATATTTGTAACAGGCTTGAGTCCAGCTTGAGTTTACTGATCACTGTTTAGCTGGAGCTATATGTGCAAACATGAAAGGGTTAATTATAACAGCAGGCCACACTCGCTCGTTCTAAAAACAGCAGCAAAGATCAGTGTAATAACTCTTAGATCTCTGCACTGTATTTTCAGGAACGTGGCAAGATGTGAAGCGATTTTAGAGATGTTCACAGGAATACAGAAGCACTAGAAGACTAGAAATGCACATTCTTCAGTACAAATGAGCCGCTGTTGTTGTATAGTTGATACATACTTTATTCTAATGTTTTTTGATGATATTCTTTACAATATTGTCAGTTGTCACACAGTAACTGGACTCAAGGCGATCAGAGCAACACTTAGACACCTCTCACACTATTGTAGTGTGCACGAGTGTGAGTTTTGCCTACTCAGACATCAAGAGACTTTCTCTCCCGGCTGCTCAAGGACACAGAAAAGTGCTTTTTTTTCCAGACGTGCTGTCACTTCAGTCAGGCTTCAGCTCTCATCTTTCCGGTTGAAAGCAGCTGTTGGTAAAGATGTGAGGGGTCTGGGGACTGCTCCTCTGTCGCCATATCCACCACGATCCTCCCACAATCACAGCGTTATCTTTACTGTCACAATCTTCCTGTGCAGATCCATCTGGGGAATTTAAATATTTTTTGAAAGATGTGAAAATCCACTAGGAAAAACAAAAAAAAAACAAAAAAATGTTTTTATTTTATTTACATCTATATGATTTATATTGACAACTGTTCAAAAGTTTGGGGTCAAAAAGATTTTTTTTTATGTTTTCGAAATAAGTTTTCACCAAGGCTACATTTATTTGATCAAGAAAACGGTAATAAAACGGTATTTATTTGATCAAGAAAAACGGTAAAAAAAGTTACCGGACGTAACTTCGGTTACGATGGAAGCTCATTTTCAGAATTCATTTTCAATGGAAGCTGGCTTCTCTCAGCTGCAGCAGCAAAGTGCAAGCAACCAATCGGAATATTGACTGAATATTTGAAGTCAAGACGGCGATGGTGTGCAAGTACCAGCCTGGGGTGCGTTTCCCGAAAGCATCGTTAGCCAACTATGGTCGCAAGTTCCGTCGATATCAGCATAGTTCAACTTGTCTGTGTTTCCCGAAACCATCGTTCCAACGAACATTCGCAAACAGCATCGCAAAGTTGTGTAGTTTGAACGACAGCTCTCGACCTGTGGTTAGAGGCATCGTTTCTATATTGCATGACATTTTGAGGTAATAAATCCTTATCTTGAGCAAAATAAGCAAGCTGACATTCATTTCATTCACTTTTATTTAGAATACATACAAATGGAATTTACATCTTTTAGATTGGAAGTAACGTGTTTGAAGAGTGCATACTATGTAAGAACGAGCCAAATATTGAGTCTGGTAATAAAGCGAAACAACTGAGAACAATTAGAAATAGTCCTCAGATGACATATCTGTAATTTACATAAAACAAGGTAGTTATTACTCCACCACGTGCGAAACCAACGTGGTTGAACGATACTTTGCGACAGTGGGTTTCGGGAAACAGCCGTGACTAGCTACTTGATTTTTCCAATGATGCATCGTACTATGGTAGTGAATCAGCGAACTACGTTGTTGTACGGGAAACGCACCCCAGGGGCCTCATTTATAAACGTTGCGTACGCACAAAAGAAGGCGTACGCCGCTCTCTACGCAATAGTTGGTATTTATAAAAAGCAAACTTGACGGTAAAATGTGCGGTCCTTCACGCAAGCTCTGACCCAGGCGTACGCACAAAAACGGGTGAAATGAGAAATGGCGACAATGTAGATATGGCGACAATGTATCAGATAGATAAATAATTAGGGAGATATATAGATAGATCGATAAATAGATAGATGTATTATTTGTCCACTGGGGAAAGTTGTTTTTATCGTAAAAATATCTTCATCAGCTACAGAATCGTGGTATTCATGCATATGCCTTTAGTTTGTTTTATTTTTGATAAAATAACGTATGACATGTCTCAACCATTCAGAAAGCTGCAAGAAATTACATTTGCACTGAACTATTTCCCATTTAGATTTTAACCGACATCCGTAGCTTGTCAGATGCAGAATTAAATGGATGTAAATAAAATGCCCCATCACAATGCGTATAATGACGCACAATGGCTGATCTTGCGCTCTTAGAAGATGTGGCGGAAGGATTCGGAGCATCATCTTCACAACAAAAGGTGTGGGAAAAAATATATTATTTATTCAAGAGTTCCCTCATTGTGCAGTTTATTTCAGCTAGGACAGTCTTGATTTCGCCCAATTCCTTGGCCACCTCTCTAATTGAATTAATGACTAGATACTTTTTTGCCTCGACTTTGATATCCGACCATTTCTTTTTTATTTCACACTGGTTGTGAGGCTACAGCATTTACGGCGTCTGCAACCTTTTGCCACTCAAGTGCCTTTTTGGCATTAGCACACTGTGCCCTCCAAACAACATTTTTCTCCTCTTTTTCCACCTCACCAACGATAACTTCTACTTCACACTGAGTGAAGTTACTTTTTTTTTAATTCCTCTCTTTAATTCCTTGATGAATATTAACTTGTGGGCGTTTCACTGACTATTTATGGGCAACTGTGGGCGTGACATGAAGCCGCAAAAGCTGCACTACATTTAGAATTGATTGTGATTTATTAAGGGAAAAATGCGTAGGATGTGCGTGCGCACGGTTTTATAAATCCGAACATTTCTGTGCGTACACACGTCCTATGTTTCATCCGTAAGCCACTTCTGACGCAAATCCTACGCAAAGTTTTATAAATGAGGCCCCTGGTCTCATAGTTAATACGTAGGTATTTTACGTTTTTGCAAAGAAACGTTCTAAAACGTACGTTTTAGAAAACTTACTTTTTAGTACGTTTGGATAGATGCTGAAACGTATAATATAGACGTATCTGCAACATTTAAACGTTTTTACAGCTACAAAACGTTAACTATTTACGTATATTCTATATCATAAAGATAGCTAATTTCCCTTTTTACCATTTTATAGATAAATGTAAGATCCCGTAACCCTAATCCCAAACCTAAACATACCGATTTTATACATAATATAAAAAAGGATAAAATGTAATTGACAGATGTGTTGGGAAATGGAAGTTTTATTAACAATATAGCATTAAAATATATTTTGAACCACCAATCCTACTCCTACCCCCAAACCTACCCATAACAATTCAACATAACAAACGACAATTATGAAGAAAAACATAACTAACAGACAAGTATAATCACAATAATTTATTTATTGCGAAAATGTCAAAACCGATACCAAAAGCCGTTCACATGAAGATGCGTTGCAGTCGCAGTCCTTTCTGGCAGTATTGTAATAGTTTTGTATGAAGTAAAGAGCAGAAATTAAATTACTAATCACTGAAAATGATAATCCGGCTTTGGTTCGCGCTTCTCCATTTCAAATGAACAAAACCACCAACCGTCACCGAGTCCTTCATGTCGCAATCTGTGACGAAGCAGGGAAGAGCCAATGAACGTTTGATATCACTGCCGTAAAATACGACGTAACGCTTCTCAAGGGCGCAATTTTTGAATTTGAATTCATCACCAGCGCGGGATTTGACATGTACGGTCGCTGCTGAGAATGGAGAAGAAGATCACGACTGCATAAAAGGTTGAATTAGGAGTTGTTTCTTGCAAACAACTATGGATTCTAAAGATTTCATCAAACTAATAAAATTGATGTCTTTTGTGAATTTTTGTTGTGATTTATAGGAGAAAACACTTTATGTGACTCAAGTTAAATAAACTATATTACAAAATGGTTAAACGAGTAACGTTAAAGAATGTATTTTTAAGGTTGTATAGTGTATTGTTTAACACCATGCAGGCGAAACGAGCAAAATGTTAATATTTATGAGTATTATATAAATAAATGCGACTGAAAACTTAATTAATAAGACAGTGGAATGCAATAGAGTCAAAACATAATGCTACAATATTCATATGAATAAATTGTGATACGTACAAATGTGTACATCGGTGGATTTGTTCACACGTAAATAATTTACGTTTTTGTGCTGTCAATACGCAAATATTTTATGTTTTAGTACTGTAAATACGTCAGTATTATACGTTTCTCAGCATATTAAACGTAATTATACGTATGATAGAACGACACTTTACATACAAATACCAACCCGGTCTCATCCCAAGACGTCATATAACTGACGTTTTGGGACGTCTTTTGACCATACGTCAATATTCGCCTTTTTAGGGCCCCCTTAAACGTCGGTAGATGAGGTTATGGGATCCTAACTCTACCCCATACCTAAACCTAATCCTAAACCTAACCCGTCACCTAACTGACGGTAAAGGTAAATCGTCAGTTGTATGACGGCCCGGGATCGCCATCTACCGACGTTTAAGGGGGCCCTAAAAAGGCGGATATTGACGTATGGTCAAAATACGTCCCAAAACGTCAGTTATATGACTTTTTGGGATGAGACTGTGTTACAGTGTTACAAATACATACATATTCTCATGAGATCACGTTGCAAGTACAGTAAGAGCATAAAGCGCACGACGCAAGTGCACTGAGGGCGTGTCCGAATCCACCTTTTTGCTACTTTTGAACACACCTCGTTTTCAGACCAGCACGTTCATGGGCGTACAACTGGGTGCAAATGCATTTGCTATTTAAATTACGAGGCGCCAGTATTATGTGCATGGCGCCAATTACCCGTATTGCGCCAGGTGTTTGATAGGGCCCTCAGTGTAACATGATCTTTTATGATAATATGATAATTTGATGCTCAAAAAAACATCTATTTTTATTATCTGTACTGTTTATATATATATATATATATATATATATATATATATATACATATATATATACACACACACACACATACACACACTCACCGAAAGGATTAACACTCATTCAATTTCTCATTAATGCAATATTACAATCAACCAATCACATTGCAGTTGCTTCAATGCATTTAGGGGTGTGGTCCTGGTCAAGAAAATCTCCTGAACTCCAAACTGAATGTCAGAATGGGAAAGAAAGGTGATTTAAGCATTTTTTTGAGTGTGGCATGGTTGTTGGTGCCAGACGTGCCTGTCTGAGTATTTCACAATCTGCTCAGTTACTGGGATTTTCACGCACAACAATTTCTAGGGTTTACAAAGAATGGTGTGAAAATGGAAAAACATCCAGTATGCGGCAGTCCTGTGGGCGAAAATGCCTTGTTGATGCTAGAGGTCAGAGGAGAATGGGCCGACTGATTCAAGCTGTTAGAAGAGCAACTTTGACTGAAATAACCACTCGTTACAATCGAGGTATGCAGCAAAGCATTTGTGAAGCCACAACACACACAACCTTGAGGCGGATGGGCTACAAAAGCAGAAGACCCCACTGGATACCACTCATCGGCACTAAAAATAGGAAAAAGAGGCTACAATTTGCAAGAGCTCACCAAAATTGGACAGTTGAAGACTGGAAAAATGTTGCCTAGTCTGATGAGTCTCGATTTCTGTTGAGACATTCAGATGGTGGTAGAGTCAGAATTTGTGGATATGGCACCATGTCACAAAGCTTGAATCATTTCAAATTGGTTTCTTGAACATGGCAATGAGT